GGCAGTTCCATTTTTAATTTTTGAGGAAACTCCATACAGTCTTCCACAGTGACTGCACCAATCTGCATTCTCACAGCAGTGCACAAGAGTTCCTTTTCTCCACATCCTCTGCCCAGCTTGTTGTTAGTAAATTTATTGATTGTAGCCATTCTGATAGGTCATATCTCATTGTGGTTTTAACTTTCATCTCTCTGATGATTGGTGACATTGAACATTTTTTCACATGTCTTTTTTCCATCTCTGTGTTCTCTTTGGCCATCTGTATGTCCATTTTTATTTATTTATTTATTTATTTATTTATTTATTTATTTATTTATTTTTTAATATATTTTATTGATTTTTTACAGAGAGGAAGGGAGAGAGATAGAGAGTTAGAAACATCGATGAGAGAGCAACATCGATCAGCTGCCTCCTGCACATCTCCTACTGGGGATGTGCCCGCAACCCAGGTACATGCCCTTGACCGGAATCGAACCTGGGACCTTTCAGTCCGCAAGCCGACGCTCTATCCACTGAGCCAAACCGGTTTTGGCTGTATGTCCATTTTTAATTGGATTGTTTGTTTGTCTGGTGTTGAGTTGTATAAGTTATTTACATATTTTATAAATCAATTCCTTATCAGATGTATCATTGGCAATTATGTCCTCCCATTGAGTGGGCTCCCTTTTTATTTTGTTGGTGGTTTTCTTTGCTGTGCAGAAGCATTTTAGTTTGATGTAGCCCCATATGTTTATGTAGTCCCTTTGTTTCCCTTACCCTAGGATATGTATTGGCAAAACTATTGCTATGAGAGATGTCTGAGATTTTACTCCCTATGTTTTCTTCTAGGACTTTTATGGTTTTGTGACTTAACTTTAAGTCACATCTATTCAGAGTTTATTCTTGTGTATAATGTAAGTTGGTGGTCTAGTTTTATATTTTTGCCTGTTTCTGCCCAATTTTCCAAACACCATTCATTGAAGAGACTGTGTTTATTTCAGGACATGCTATTGCCTTCTTGGTCAAATATTAATTGACCATAGAGACATGGGTTTATTTCTGGGCTCTCTGTTCTGTTCCATTGACCTACATGCATGTTTGTTTTCTTAAAAATATATTTTATTGATTTTTTACAGAGAGGAAGGGAGAGGGACAGAGAGTTAGAAACATCAATGAGAGAGAAACATCGATCAGCTGCCTCCTGAATACCTTCTACTGAGGATGTGCCCGCAACCAAGGTACATGCCCTTGATCGGAATTGAACCTGGGACCTTTCAGTCCGCAGGCCGACGCTCTATCCACCGAGCCAAACTGGTTACGGCCATGTTTTTATGCCAGTACCAGGCTGTTTTGATTTTTGTTTGATATTTGTTGTTATGATCCCTCCAACTTTGTTCGTTTTCTCAAGATTGCTGCAGATATTTGGGGTCTCCTTTGGTTCTATATGTTTTTGGAATATTTGTTCTAGATCTGTGAAATATGCCATTGGTATTCTAATAGGAATTGGGTTGACTATAGTTTGCTTTGGGTAGTATGAACATTATAATGATGTTAATTCTTCCAGTCCATGAACACGCTATATGTTTCCATTTATTTGTATATTTCTCAATTTATATTTCTTCAGAGTTCTATAGTTTTCTGAGTACAGATTTTTTCTTCCTTGGTTTAATTTACTCCTCGGTACCTTATTTTTGTTGTCGTTGCAATAGTAAATGAGGTTGATTTTTCAGGTTCTCTTCCTCATAGTTCATTATTGGTATATAAAAATGCCACCAATTTCTAAATGTTAATTTTGTATCTTTCTACTATGTCAAATTCATTTATTAGATCCAATATATTTTTTTTTTTTGGTGGAGTCTTTAGGATTCTATATATAATATCATGTGTTTTGAAAATAATGGCAGTTTTATTTTCTCCTTTCCAATTTTGATGCCTTTTATTTCTTCTTCTTGTCTGATCACTGTGGCTAAGACTTCTAGTACTATGTTGAATAACAGTGGTGAAAGCTGATATCCTGTCTTGTTCTTAATTTTAGGGAACTCATTTTTAGTTTTTGCCCATTGAGTATAATGTTGGTTGTAGGTTTTCCATATATGGCCTTTATTATATTGAGGTATGGTTTCTCTTTCTCATTTTGCTCTGATGCCAGACAATCCAGTTCCTCCCCATATGTCCCTGGATCCCCCTAACCCACTGCCCCAGTGCTGAAGCTCAGTGGGAGCAGGTGAATAAGTTAATGCATTGGCCCTTTAAGAGGAACTGTGTGGTTCTTCAGCAGCCTCCTTGCTACTCAGCCACTATCCCCGCTGGTTTTCACAGCCCAAAGTTATGGGGACTTCTCTTCCCAGCTCTGGGGCCCTCTGCTGGGGGTCTGGTGTGGGGCTTGGGCCCCTTGCTCCTCACAGGAGGCCTCCACAGCCTAGATATCCCTTCTAATTAAAAACACGCCACATGTGGGTGTCTGACCAGCCTGTTCTGCACCTCCATCCCTCCTACCAGTCTCACTGTGCTTTCTTCTTTACTTCTCTAGTTGTAGGACTTCCATTCAGCTGGCTTTCAGGCAGTTCTGAATGATGGTTGTTCTGTATTTTAGTTGTAACTTTGATGTGGTTATCGGCTGTAGCGATTACCTACGGCACCATCTTGATTCTCCCTTAAGAATTCTTTTTATTTCAAGGAATTGGAGGTAACAGTATGGTAAAGTTTGTAAAACTCTTTCAGGATTCACCTAGCAAGTGCTGGCAAAGGACACAAGATAATTAAATCTCCTGTATTCTATTTCATTTAAGAGTTCTGTAAACTGGTGATAATTCAGAATATTTTTATGTATACATTCAGTGATTTTAAAGACTATCTGCAACATTTTTCACAGGAGAGGGGCTTCTTCAGAAAACTAAGCAAAAATACTTTCAGTGGAATAGGAAAAAACATCTGCCTCTTGTTTTAAAATGCCAGTAAATCCTTATATTTGACCTACTATAGTTTGAGTACCATTCATTATGATAAAAATTATTGGATTATATTTAGCCTAACTATTTATTTGAGGGATACCAATGGCATGAGTTTAGCTTTTGAGTTGAGTTGACTTTTCTTTATATACTAGAGGCCTGGTGCACAAAATTCGTGCAGGGGGGGGATATCCCTCAGCCCGGCCTGCACCCTCTCCAATCTGGAACATCTCTCTCACAATCTGGAACCGCCGGCTCCTAACCGCTCGCCTGCCTGCCTGCCTGATCACCCCTAACCACCTCTGCCTGCCTGCCTGATCATCCCTAACTGCCTCCACCTGCCTGATTGCTGCCTAACTGCTCCCCTGCTGGCCTGATCGCCTCCAACTGCCCTCTGGTGTGGGGCTTGGCCCCCTTGCTCCTCACAGGAGGCCTCCACAGCCTAGATCACCCCTAACTGCCTCTGCCTGCCAGCCTGATCACCCCCTAGCTGCTCCCTTGCTGGCCTGATCGCCGCCTAACCACCCCACTGCTGGCCGGATCGCCCCCACTGCCCTCCCCTGCTGGCCTGATCGCCCTTAACTGCCTCTGCCTTGGCCCCCATCATGGTGGCTTTGTCCGGAAGGAAGTCGGACTTCTGGAAGATGTCCGGTGGACCTGGCCTAATTAGCATATTACCCTTTTATTAGTATAGATTTGGAAGTCCTTTGAGATAAGACATGTTAATTTGGTCAGTGTTCTTATATTGCATGGCTCATTTAAAGCTAAAGAAGAATACTTGCAATTTTCAAACTTTGCATCAATTGACATTTTATATCTTTAGAAAGTGTTTGTGTTTACATGCATTTGTTGATTGGCTTAATTGAACATCTTTTATTTTGTGTAAATAAAGAGTTTTACTCTTGCCGAAACCGGTTTGGCTCAGTGGATAGAGCGTTAGCCTGCGGACTGAAGGGTCCCGGGTTCGATTCCGGTCAAGGGCATGTACCTTGGTTGCGGGCATATCCCCAGTGGGAGATGTGCAGGAGGCAGCTGATCGATGTTTCTCTCTCATCGATGTTTCTAACTCTCTATCTCTCTCCCTTCCTCTCTGTAAAAAATCAATAAAATGTAAAAAAAAAAGAAAGAGTTTTACTCTTTTCCTCAGACCTCAGTGGGTTGTTTTTTTTAAAACAGTAGCTAAAAGTTAGAATAGCTGGGGGGAGAGGTGTGGGGGAGGGGAGGGAGAGCGGGGACAGGAATAAAAACTAAACTGGCTAAGGACAAAAAGCATGGAGGCAGGGGCCAGGATTCACACAGATTGCCTGAATTCCGATCTCCAGTGTGGCCCAGCTGAGCTACCAGAGGGTTCTAATGGCATTCGGGGGTGAGAACCACAAGAAGGCCTCCGACTTCAGACCATTTCTCCAGGGAGCTGGGAGCTGCTTTCCAACGTGAAGGGAACAGGCCATTCTCAGTGCAGTGGGTGCACTGTGTTCACCCGCTGGTGGTGCCTCCATCACTCACAGAGAGAGGCTTCCAGGTCTCCGTGTTTGCCTCTATGCCCCCTATCACTGACCTCTGCTGCTGACCTTAGTTAGCCTCTAGCTACTGTCCCATCTCCAAGCCCCATGCATACCACCCTTGCTATAAAATGGCACAGATCTAGTCAAAGTACATCTGAAATCTTCACCCTCCCTAATGAAATCCACACCCTGCCATTTCTACTTTGTGTCTAAAGCAATCACCTTGGGCTACCTTCTTGTCTTGCTTTCTAAGCATTTCATTGTGCGTGTACTCTTGGAAATGCCCTGGGATCTTCTTAGAGGCAGGGATTGACTTTGGTCCTGACCCACTTTATGTGAGGCTGGGTACACACGTAAACCTTGCTGAATGAGACAATAAATGCACAACTATGTAAGTATTGAGAAATTAACAACATGAAAGAATATATAAGCCTCCCAAAATGCACGTTTAATTCAGAAAGGGAGATGGCTGGGCCCTTGCAGCTCAATAAAGCAGCTTCTCCAGAGATAAAACAAAGAAGATGGGAGTTGGGGGTTTGACCCATGCCCCATTTCTGATGGCTGATCTGCAACTTTTACTCCCGTTAGCAATTGGAAAACCCATGTAAGTTATTGTCTCTTTACAAAGGTCTGCTCGTATGCACTTCTTCATTTCAACAGCGATGTCTTTAAGACCTGCGAGAAACCATGAATGACACTTCCATTCTTCTCCCTTTCGTCCCTCTTTCACACACCCCCTTACTGGGCTGGAGTACAACATCCACTAGGCCACCCTGCATGTGAGTCACTCTGCACAGCTGAGGCAATCAGCTGTCATGGTGTCCTCCATATGTGTGGCTTGCAAAACCTTCACAACTTTCTTAATCAAGTACTCATGCAATTTCTAAGCTTGGCTTAAGTAAATTTTTTCCAACCCATATTTCCACCTGCAGATCTAGCATTGTGTTTTTACAGACATTTTATGCAGGTGGCAGTAAGAATTTGTTTCTTCTCCGAGTTCTCAGTGACTTCATCAGAGCACTCTGCACTGCCGACCTCAGGACTTGGTGCATCTGTGTCAGGTATGTACACCCTTCCTGACTTTAAGGACCGAAATCTAATTGCCTTTCATTCTTGGTTCGCATTACCTTTTAAGAAACAACGACAGCCATACAAAAGCAAGTGCTTTGATGGCTCCCTGCCTTTCAAAGCGCCTCCAGATACATCATTTCACACGGAGCACTCTGTGCTCTTGGTGATTTCTCTGCACCCGCTGGGTGCCATATTCAGTGACTGCTATTTTAATGTACAAACATAAGAATCCAAGATACCAATGGATATGACCAGCCTTTGCTAGATTATGTCACTAATAACAGACTTCAAGAAGGCTGAGCTGCCCTAACTGGTTTGGCTCAATGGATAGAGTGTCGGCCTGCAGACTGAAGGATCGCAGGTTCGATTCCCATCAAGGGCACATGCCTGGGTTGTGGGCTTGATCCCCAGTAAGGGGCATGCAGAAGGTAGCCAACAAATGATTCTCTCATCATTGATGTTTCTATCTCTCTCTCTTCCTCTCTGAAATTAATAAAAATATATTTTAAAAAATGTTAAAAAAAAAAAAGAAGGCTGAGATCCTCAGCGAGAGAAAGGGAGAAGGTAAAGAAAAGCTATGAGAACAGCCTGGTGCTTAGGGAGCTCTGCTCTAGGAGCCCTGCTGTGCTCCTAACTTATTTCTAACGTGTCTTCAATTAACTTGGAATTCTGTGTTGGGTTTTCTCAAAGCAAGCATTGTAAATTATGTTTTATGATGTTTTTGAGGAAAGGTTAATCATTATCTTTTTCCAAAGCTTTTACTTTGAAAATTAAACCTCCCCGAGGCAGGGCATAAATTATTCTTGTGCTAAAATAAACTAAGCAAAGTTTGCAGAGGATGAAGTTTCATTCAATGTGCTGAAAACCAGCTTCCTCAAAGCTAGCCGAGGGTTTGTTGATAAAAGTAAAAAAATTCAAAAAAACAAAAAAGGAAAAAAGTACAAAAATTCATAAATGACTAAATGAGTGTGAGAAAGCCAATTAGACATATTTTCAGGCTCAGATCACTGCAGTATCCTCGTTCCTAAGAGGACAAAAGCTGATTTCTCCTCAACCCTCCCTCTAGGATACGTGCCCCAAGTTGGTGACAGAGCGCCACTGTCCTGTGTCTACAGAATACCGCATCCTTTCAAAGTACCTGTGTTTACGATGCCAGAGAATTCAACGCATTTCAGTTTGTCTGCTGCGCACCACTTGAGCTTACTGTTGCACTTCCTTCCCATCACTGCGAAGCAGGTCGGGCACTTAAAGCCATTGGAGGTGAATTCATCCACATCTTTCTCCTCCAGGTCATTCATCTTAATCTCCCAGGAGACTTAAAAAAAGACAGAAAACTGGCTGGCGATTTGCCACTGGTAGGCAAATGTACCCATGCTCACAGGCAGACTCACCAGCCCGATTCGGTATGTGACACTCAACACTGGAGTTACTACAAAAATGACCCCCTCCTCATGGAGGTTCCTTCCTGGGGAGGAAGCCAGACTAAAACAAACAAAGAAGAAAATACATGCTATGTCAGACGATGACAACTGAAGAGAGAACTGGAACAGTAAGTACAGTAGGCGGAGGGTGTGGCTGCAGTTCACGGGGTGGTCAGGGAAGGCCCCACTGGAAGGGAGATTTCCAAACCCTTGCACTGGGTACTTCAGTGTGACAAATAAAGGTCAAAGGACACGGCGTGCACAGGCTCTGAAACAGCCTGAGCCCCTGCACTCTCTGTAATGCCTTCGTAAACTACGTCCTCCGATGCCCTCCTCATCCACGTGTCCCTACTACCGCCTGCTGCGGAGGAAAAACACTGAGCTTGGCTGCTCCGGTGAAATATGTCCACAGAGTGTAGAGAACTATGGATAAAGAGGTGGAAATCTGTGGAAACGTAGGGAAAGGGGAAAAGGGGGTAAAAGTCATAGGATTTATCTGTAGAATTTTTCTCGGGCTCTGAAAGGTGGTTTGAATTATTTACTTTCCTCTAAGCAGAACCCCCCATCCCTCCCTCGGGCTCCTCCAGTCCCACCGGCTGAGGGTGAGGGGCAAGTAGTGTGTGACACCAAGGGGTCATGTCCACTAGGAGCCTGTGCGCCCTCCCCTAGCCTTGCCCGAGTACCAAGAATCCTGGGATTTCTTGCTCAAATAGACCAAGGAGTTTGCAGAGGTGTTAGGAGAGGAGAGCTTGGACTAAGGACTGGTGTGTCCATGCATGTGATCATGATGCCCATCACAGAAAAGGGGAAGCAGAGTGGGAGAGGAGGTGAGCTGGGACCAGTGTTCTCAGTGCTACCAGTTCTTGGCGTGGAACTCTGAGAAGTGTGAAAATTGCAGGCCTTTTATCCAGGTAAGAGGATGGAACCCAGATTAAATTTTTTTTAGCTTTTTGTGTACCATTTCAATATAGAGCCATATTGCCTTGGACCCTGCAAATGTGCGGGCAGCAGGCCCTCCATCCTGGGCAGGAGCAGGAGTTGGAGGCTTGGTTCCTGGGGACTGGGAGCCACATATGCCATAAGAACCAGAGTCCAGAGATGGCTGGAGCTCTCAAGGAGATGCAACCCCTATAGATCCAGGGCTAACCCGGCCTGCTCTCCCTAGAGAGAACTGTTTGATGAAGCATAGTACAAAGAGCCAAAAGTAATTTAAAAATCAACAAAAGAAAATAATATAAAAACAAATTACAATCAAACATTAAAGAGATTCCAATTAATTTCTCAGCAATGTCTCATATCCCCTCTCCTTCCAAACTCTCATACCTCACTGTGCTTGAAGCTACTCTGTCCACTGTGTCTTTTTAAATTTAATTAATTAAAAGCTCACTGCTGTTGGAACTGAAAGATAGTGGTTTAGGGAAACCCCTGTACTTGCCATCACCCACAACCACATCAAAATTACAATTAAAACACAGAACAACCATCATTCAGAACCGCCTGAGAGCTAGCTGAATGGAAGTTCTACAACTAGAGAAGTAAAGAAGAAAGCGAATCAAGACTGGTAGAAGGGGCAGAGACACGGAACAGGCTGCCACTTGTGCCACTTTTTTAAAAAAGTATATTTTTATTTATTTCAGAGAGAAAGAAACATAATGATGAGACAGAATCATTGATTGGTCTCCTCCTGCACACCCCACCCTGGGGACTGAGCCAGCAACAGGCATATGCCCTTGACTGGAACTGAACCTGGGACCCTTCAGTCCACAGGCCAACACTCTATCCACTGAGCCAAAACACTCTATCCACTGAGCCAAACCAGCTAGGGCTGTGCCGCTTTTTTTTTTTTTTTTTTTTTTTTTTTTTTTAAATCAGGAGGGAGTCTCTCTGTGGAGACTGCCTGTGAGGAGCAAGGGGTCCAAGTCCCACACCAGCCCCCAACCCCAGGGTTAGAGAGCAGGAAAGAGAAGGCCCTATAACTGTGGGCTGTAAAACCCAGCAGGGATTGTGGCTGAGGGACATGAAGGCTGCTGGGGACCCAGGGATTGTTTTTAAAGGGCTGGTGCACAAACTTACTTGGACTCTATTCATCTGAGCTCCAGCACCGGGGGACCCAGAAACATATGGGGCAGAACTTGACTGTCTGGCATCACGGCAGGATCTTGGGGGCAGCCTTCTCCTAGAGAGGGGTGTTCCCAGGGGCCATTGTTCCTGTGCTGGTACCTCCCCTGTTGCAGGGCTGACTGGCAGCCATATCTGAGTTTCCATCAGTCTGGCTCACACTGTTCGCTCTGCCCTGGTGATTCCCTGAGAGACTGCCCCATCCAATTTGCATCCCCAACCAAGCTGTTTGTTGCAGCTTTTCCATATGAGTGCCCTATCCTAGCTCAGGATTGCTTTTGCTAAAATCTCTCAAACAAGTTTCAGCTGGTGTCCGCATGGCTCATACCTATTAATAAAAGACCCAAGACCTGCCACTAGAAGCAGCCTGCCTTGCTTCACATCTGGGCACTTCCAAGCCAGGTATAAGCCATCTGCAGCTGCTGCTAGGTGGCCCCAGCCAGTAGCTGACTTTGAACCTCCCTGGAGGCCCAGAGCCAGTGCAGCTGGTGGATAGCTTCAGACCACACCAGATTACACATCCACAAGTGATACACTCAAGGGGAAGAGTCAGTGAGCACCAAAGCCCCATTGAAGCAAGTCCTGCTCCATAGGGTGTCTCCTGCACAGCAGCTCTTCCCCTGTAGTTGCAACTGGTTCTCACAGCCAATTGGCTGGAGGGCAATTCTTCCCAGTGATGCCAATGGCAATCATGGCTCAACCACAACAAGACTGTGCACACAGCCCACACAGTGGTGCACCTAGACCCAGCTCAGATGACTGGGGAGACTCAGCCACTGTGCCCTACAGGACATCTACTACACAAGGCCACTCTACCAATTCCAGAAGACATAGAAGCTCTTCCGAATACACAGAAACAAACACAAGGAAGCAGCCAAAATTTGGAGACAGAAAAACATATCACAAATGGAAGTAAAGAAATTACTGGATACAGAGTTGTTCAAAACCATGGTTATAAGATTACTCAAGGATCTTCATGAGAGCTTCAGGGGACTTGTGAGAATGTCAAAGACATGAAAAAAGACATTTTATCCAGGTAAGAGAAATTAACCATACACTAACTGAAATAAAGAATAATTTATAGGAATTCAATAGTAGAGTAGAGGAGTCAGAGAATCAAATCAATGACTTGTACTATGAGGAAGCAAAAAACACCCAATCAGAAGAGCAAAAAGAAAAATAATCCAAATATATGAAGATAGTGTAAGAAGCCTCTGGGACAACTTCAAGTGCACCAACATTCACATTATGGTAATGCCAGAAGAAGAGAGAGAGCAAGCTATTGAAAACCTATTTGAAGAAATAATGACAGAAAACTTCCCCTACCTGGTGAAAGAAACAGACTTACAAGTCCAGGAATCACAGAGAGCCCCAAACAAGAGGAGCCCAAAGAAGCTACACCAAAACACATCATAATTAAAATGCCAAGAGTTAAAGACAAAGAGAGAATCTGAACAGCAGCAAGAGAAAAGCAGTTAGTTACCTACAAGGGAGTGCACATATGACTGTCAGCTGATTTCTCAACAGAAACTTTGAAGGCCAGACGGGAGTGGCAAGAAATATTCAAATTGATGAATAGTAAGGATGTACAACCAACATTACTCTACCAAGCAAAGCTCTCATTTAGAATTGAAGGTCAGATAAAGAATTTCACAGACAAGAAAAAGCTAAAGGAGTTCATCACCACCAAACCAGTATTACATGCCATGTTGAAGGGTATTCTTTAAGAAGAGGAAGAAGAAGAAAAAGATTAAACATATAAACAACAAAATGCCAATAAATACATATCTATCAACAATTGAATCCAAAAACGAACAAGAAATCTAATGAACAAAATACACTGGTGAATAAAATACAATCAGAGGCATGCAAACATGGAACAGACTGGCGAATTTCAGAGGAAAGGGGATGGGGAGTAGGAAGAGATTAACCAAAGATCTCTTACCTATGGACACAGGGTGGTGAAGGCCTGGGGTGGGGTGGGAACCGGGTGGAGGGAGGCAATGGTAGGAGAAAAGGGGGACATCTGTAATACTTACAACAATAAAGATTTAAAATGAACCCCCACCCCCCACACAAAAGCTCACTGCCATGGTTGTGCCATTCTCATTTCAAATGCTCAAAAGCTGCATATACAGACATTTTACTCATCATAGAACATCCCACAAGCCAGCACTGCACTACAGTCTTACACGGTTAGACAAAAGCAAATTAAAACTGGAGTGTGCTGGTGAGAGTGTGGGGCAACAGGCATTTTCATTCTATTTCTGGTGGGTAAATTAGTGCAACGTATTTAGAGGCCAATTTGATAATTTGGAAAAAAGTTTAGATTGCACAAATTCTTTGGTCCAGGAATTCCTAAGTATTTTCCTACATGTGTAATTTTATTTGTAGGTCAATTACTGCAGGATTCTCTGAGATACTAAATAGTTAGAAATGACTGAAATTCTCATGGTTAGACATCCATGAAATAGTTGTACATATAGAGAATGTGTGCTTCTACACACACTGATATGAAAATCCTTCCATTTGTCACAACATGGATGTATCTTGAAGTCATTACACTATGAAAAGTCCTCCAAGGTGTACCTTGAAGGGGAAAAAGCAAGAGGTATGACACTAGGTATAAAATGCCATGGGAAGAAAAAGATACACTTGGATATGTTGCTAAATACACAGACCATCTCTGGAAAGGTACTCAAGAAGGGATGACTGTGGTTGCCTCCAAGGAGTTGAGCTGGGGGGCTAAAGAGGAGGAGGATATATTCTCTCCTCTACACATTTTGCATTTTATACCAAGGGCATAAAGTATTTATTTTAAAAGCTGTATAATTAAAAACAAATAAACATAAATAAATTAAAACAGAGAAAGGAGAAGAAAAGATGGGTTTTAAAATTTGCTTTTACCCCTGAGAAAAAAGCCTGCATCATTGAAAGAAAAACACCACATGATCTCACTCATTTATGGATAATTAAGACCATTATAAACTGATGAGCAAAAATAGGTACAGAGGCAGAGCAACATCAAACAGACTGTCAAACTACAGCGGGAAGGCCGGGGAGGGTTGGGGGGCAGGAGGGAGGGGGATAAGAGATCAACCGAAGGACTTGTATGCATGCATATAAGCATAACCAATAGGCACAAGACACTGGGGGGTATGGGAGGCTAGGGGAAGGTCAAGGGGAGAAAAAAAAAGGAGACATATATAATACTCTTTGTAATACTTTAAGCAATAAAACAATTTAAAAAAAAAAAGCCTGCAAAAATCCAAGCAAAAAATAGACATTTTACCAAAGAAGAAATACAAATGACCAACACCAGAGAAATGCAAATCAAAACCACAGTGAGCCTGGCAGTGGTTAAGAGTCGATCTACGAGCCAGGAGGTCATGGTTCGATTCCCGGTCAGGGCACATTCCTGGCTTGTGGGCTCCATCCCAGTGGGGGCTGGGTAGGAGGTAGCGGAATGATGATTCTCTATCATTGATGTTTTTATCTCTCTCCCCCTGTCCCTTTCTCCCTGAAATCAATAAAAATGCAATTAAAAAATATAAAATTATTTAAAAAATTATTTTAAAGAACAACCAGAATGAAATAACACCTCACACCTGTCAGATGGTTATCATTAATAAATCAACAAACAACAAGCATTGGCCAGTATGTGGAGCAAAAGGAACCCTCATGCACTGTTGGTGGGAATGTAGATTGGTGCAGCCACCATAGAAAACAGTATGCAGATTCCTCAAAAAAATTAAAAATGGAACTGCCTTATGACCCAGCAATTCCCCTTCGGGGTATTTAGCTGAAGGAAACAAAAACACTAATTTGAAGAGATATATGCAACCCTACATTCATTGCAGCATTATTTATAATAGCCAAGATATGGAAGTAACCTAGGTGTCCATCGACAGAAGAATAAAAAAGCTGTGGTACACACCATGGAATATTCAGTCATAAAAAAGCAGAAAGTCCTGCCATTTGTGACAACATGGATGTATCTTGAAGCCATTATATTAAGTGAAATAAGTCAGACAGAGAAAGAAAAAAACTGTGTGATCCTCTAATATGTGGAATGTTAAAAAATAAAATAAAACCCAAACTCATAGAAAAAGATCAGGTTTTTGGTTACCAGAGAGGGGGATTTGTGGAAAGGTGAGCAAAAAGGTACCAACTTCCAGTTATAAGGTACATTAGTACTAGAAATGTACTGTACAGCATGATGTGATTGTAGTTAACACTGATATATAGGAAAGTTAAGAGAGTAGATCCTAAGAATTCTAATCACAGGGACTGTTTTTATTTTTTTGTATCTATATGAGATGATGGATGCTAACTAAACTTATTTTGGTAATTATTGGTGTATGTCAATATACTATATAATAAAGAGGTAATATGCAAATCGACCCTCACTCCATCACAAGATGGTTGCACCCACAGCAGAGGTAGGGTTCCTGAAAGATAAGATGGCTGCGCCCACAGCAGAGGCGGGGTTCCCATAATGAGCCATAACAAGCAATCATCAGGGACCTGAGGCTGCATGGCACTGGGCCAGGCTGGGGACCTCAGGCTGTGCCCCCTGCCCCGGCGCCGGGCCGGGGACCTGAGACTGCACACCCCCGGGGCTTGATGGGGGTGGGGCTGGCCGGGGCTGGATCTTGTCCAATGGGGGTGGGACCGGCCGGGTCTGGGTCTTGCACAATTTTGAGGTGCACGTGGGTGGGCAGGGACTTAAATCTGGGTCCTATGGCATGCCCCACACTCTGACAGGAGGAAGATTTTCATATACATTTCACTAATTTTCTTTTTAATCTCTGACACTTCTATTATAGAGAAAGGGCAAATAGCAATATTAAAATATTTCCTCTAATTAATTCCTTTTTAATGTGCACAAATTTCGTGCACCAGGCCACTAGTATCTCAATAAAACTGAATAAGAAGGCATATTATAGAAAAGTACTTAAGCAAACTTCACTACAAATCATAACCACAAACCAAAAGCAAAGGAGAGCACTCCTGAGGAAACAAGTGGTCACCTGGTTAAGTGTGGGCACAGCACTTCATTCCCTGCCCATACAGTTGCCCTTGGGCAGCCCTCAGACCCTTGGGTGCCCCCAGAAAATGGTACTTGAACTGAAAGGAAACTACTAGAGTATGAGCATTGTGCAGACTGACAGACCTCCCTGTCCTCCCAAGCCAACACCTGTCACAAACTCTCCTACATCTCTACATATGTTATTGAAGAAAAAGGCCTTTTTTAAAAAAGTTTTGATTTATGTGAAAATGCTGAGCACCAGGGGAAGGTTAGTAGCATTGCTCTCAGTTATTCACAGTGAGAAAAAATTATGATTTTCCCATCCTTCCTTGAAAATGAGCTATGATGTTAACATTCAGTGAGGCTGGCTTTAAGCTTGGTAGGTGGAAAGTTATGATGAAATGGGAAAGATAGGAACTGGAGAAAGGAGCAGAGGACTTGAAGGTTGACAGCTCAAGATAAACTTCCACATTTACCTACGGCCTGTTCCAAAATTCAATCAGTGATTTTCTGTAATATTTTATTAGGTGAAGAAAGCAGAGGAGGAAATAAGTCAATAAAGACCTGGAATTTCATATAAAATTATGCTGACCTTCCTTATATGCATAAGGAATTCTAAACTAGCCCATAATGAACTCTTAGTAAGGAATAACTATTTGTATTGGTCTAAGCAGTGCGGGATGAGTCCTTCCTATAAAAAATTGAGAGGCTGGTGGAAGAGGGGATGGCATAAGGATATGAGCACAAGCAGTTAAAGCTGGTGGCCAATGGATGAGTGGACTATCCTGATGATGGAGGAGGTCACCTTGGGAGGAAACCTCAGGATGCCCTGGACAACCCCAGGAATTTAAAATGATTAAGTGGCACTAATGAAATGAGTGCTGCCCATAGCAGATGCAGAACATGGTACCCAGTGAGCAAGCAGGGATAGGGCAGGCTGTTACCACAGTCCCAACCCTCAGGGACATCATGAAGGAGAACCAGGGCCCATGATTCACCCCTCAGGGGTGAACATCTTCTCTCCTCCTTCCTTCCCCCAATATGAAGTGGTCCCTGGAGAAAAATTGAAAGCTACCCTCTAATAAAAATTTTCTAAATGCCAACCCTTTGCTGTGCCATGTTCCTTCCAAGTGTAGCCCAAATGTCCATCAGTAAATGTGTGGATAAAAAAGTTGTGGTACATTTACACAATGGAATACTACTCGGCTGTAAAAAGGAAGGAAATCTTACCTTTGCGACAGCATGAATGGACCTGGAAAGCATTATGCTAAGTGAAATAAGCCAGTTGGAGAAAGACAAGTACCCTATGATTTCACTCATGTGGAATCTAATAAACACACTGAACTAACAAGCAAAACTGAGACAGACTCATAGAGAGCAGGCTGACAGCTGTGTGTGTGTGGGGAGGGTGCTGAGGGGGGAGGGATTGATCAAAACAGAAAAAAAAGAGAGATAACTCTTGGAGAAGGACAGCAGTGTGGGGACTGCAGGGGTTGTGGGTTAGGGGAATTGGGGAGAGGTGGAGGAGGGTGTCCTATATAATAAAAGCCTAATATGCTAAGTGTCTGGTCAACTGGTTGGCTGTTCAACCAATCAAAGAGTAATATGCTAATGATATGCTAAGGCCACTCAACCGCTCGCTATAACCTGCACTGACCACCAGGGGGCAGACGCTCCAACCAGTAGGTTAGCTTGCTGCTGGGTCTGGCCGATGGGGACTGAGAGGGACTTGTGGGACATGCCCTGGATCCCCCCCCCCACCCCCCCCCCCCGTCGGCCCCATCCCCAATTGGTCCCCAACACCCCAATCGGGGGCAGGGCTGGCCAGCCAACTGCCTGTGGCCCCTTCCCCTGGCGGGCCCTGCACCATGGGCCCCCATGGGGAGGGCTGCGGGACCCCACCATGCTCCAATTCGTGCACTGGGTCTCCAGTAAAGGAGATAAACAGTAATGGACATAGACTTGATTTGGGATGGTAAATACACAATACAGTGTACAGATGACATTTGTAGAATTGTGCACCTGAAACGTGTATAATTTTGTTAACCAATGTCATCCCAATAAATTCAATAAAAAGGAAAAAAATTAAAATGTACTTAAAAAATAAATAGGCTGGAACTGATCAATATTCCTAGTCCTCCCAGAACTATGTTGGAGGTGAGGTGGGGCTCTGAGGGCTGGGCACAGAAGGGGAGCGGGAATGCGGGAATGAGGTTGCAGGATGTGGGGGAGCAGGGAAGTGGGAGAAATGTAGGATGCAGGGTGTGGGTGAGGATGCCTGGGCAGGATTTGGATGTGCGGTGTGGGTGGGAGTGAGGGTGAGGGCAGGATACGGATGTGGGGGTGTAGGGTGTGGGTGGCGATTCAGGCGGGGATGTGGGGTGCGGGTGGCCTCAGGGACTCTCACCTGCAAGGAAGGGCGCCAGGAGGAGGCTGCAGGCCAGGAGCAGGTGTCCAGGAGCGGCGGGGAGCATGCTGTGGGTCGGTTCTCTGTGAAAGACAGGGCCGGTCAGCCATGTCACGGGCCCCCTCCCCACCCGCTGCCTCCCACCTGCGACCCTCCCGGCCTTCAGATCACGTGCGTGGCAAAGATCTCGGCCCCCACGGCATCTGAGCTCGAAGGTGCAGCCTGTGTGCCCCTTCACACAGGCTCTAGTGCGCTGGAAGACCACGTGGTCTGGGCTGGGCTGCGTGGCTAGGCTGTGCACACCTGTACCTGAAAGCGCAACTGACAATATGGTCCAGCCCGGCGAGTCCTGCAGTGGGCCGCAAGCACTGCGCACGCACGAGGCAGGGGCCAGAGCTTCCCTATTGGTCCATCCCCAACGGTCCCGCCTCCTGTTCTGGCCAATGAGATGCCTCAGGCAGGGCTTATGTGACTGCAGAAAGTTTACCTGGCTATTTCTACAGTTCAGAGAATGGAAGCTCAGAGGAGGTGGGGTCCCTGTTTGTGGGGGTTCTCTGATGCTCACCCACCAAACCCCACTGAAGATGTCTTGCTGGGACTGAGCCTCTTCCCTACCTGCCCTCAACATCTCTGAGAAGGCACCTACATGCTGGACTCTGACCAGACCGCCACCGCCTCTGTGAGTGACCCGTGCACCTACTTTGAGTGATTCCTGCATCTGGGGGGAAAATGCTCTAACACCCTCACACCCCTCATCCAGCACCTGGAGAGTCAAGGGCCTGTGCAGTCACCATGCACAGTTATGAATTTTGTGCTGGGAATATAAACGGGCTGTCATCATGTACTGAGTGCAAGGGTCAGAATTCTACCTGTTCTCCCACTGCTGTTTTCAGGCCGGGATATTGCAGCAACTGCAAAAACCCTACTTCTTTTTGGAAGCAACCTAAATATTTATTGAGAGATGAATTGACAATCAAAATGAGAATATATATAATATTTCATATATACACATACATATACATATATGAAATATTATATATCCTTAAAAATAAGTAAATCCTGGCATATGTAACAACATGGATGACCCTTGAGGGCATTATGCTAAGTGAGATTAGTTAGAAAATACAAATACTGCATGATTCCCCATATATGAGGTATTTAACATACTCTAACTCAGAAACAGAAAGTAGAATGGTGGTTCCAGGGGCTGGGGGGAGGGGAAAAGGAGAATTGTTCAATGGTTATACGTTTTAGGGATCAAATGCACCATGATGTGCAGTTACACTGCTATATTGTACACTTAAAATTATTAACATGGGTAATTTTATCTTATGGGTTTTTTTTTATCACAATTTGAAAAACTCTACTCCTTTGACATTTATATATACTGCCGTATTCTACTAAGTTATTTTTGACCATTTAACCCGTGTTTTGACCCTTGGTTCATAACGTTTGTTGATGTCAGAACATACAAAACTATAGAGAAATTTATGAGTTTATTAGAGCCAAATTGAGGACATACCCCAAAGCAAAATCTCAATGGACTGAGAAAATGCTCCAGAGAATTTTAGTTTTGCAGTTGTTATTAAGCACTTTGAATCAAAGGAGGGATGATTACATGAAACCCATTGTTGGTAGATTAAGGAAGTGGGAAAAAAGGCGGGGATATCTCTATGATGGATAGAAGTAAAATGGAAAGATAAATATTTAATATTTACAGTAAATGAGGGTGGAATATAGGCAGCAGGATCATGTGCTCCCTTGAGGGATCTGGAAAAGAGGGTCACTGGCATTTCAAAGGTGTGTTCACCTAGATTCACTAGAACGATGAGCAGGGCTTACTGAAGACAAAGATAAACCTTTTATTATGGAAGTCATAGGCCTGGGGTGTGACAGCCCAGCATGGTCTTCCCAGTCAGGAATTCATAATCACATCACCCGGTGAGGTTACTTTCAGTCACTAAGCTTGTCACATTTACTCCGTACCCCTGTTTTGTACATACCTTGCACTACAACACTGTGCAAAAGAACTTCCTACAATGAAAAAAAAAAGTTCTATACTTATGCTGACACAGCACTGTAGTGTGTTGAATGGTAGCCCCAAAGGTGTGTCCACCTTCTAATCCTTAGAACTTGTGGATATTACCTCATATGGCAAAAGATGTGATTAAGTTCTGGATGGGCCCTAAATGCAGTCACATGTACCTTTGTAAGAGAGAAGCAGGGACGTTTTGAAACAGACACAAAAAGGAAAAGACACAGAGAAGAGGAGGGGCCAAGAGACCATGGAGACAGAGGTTGGAGTGATGCAGCCACAAGCAAAGGAATGTAAGAGGCAATGAAAAGATTCTCCCCCAGGGCTTCTGGAGGGAGCATGGCCCTGCCAATACCTGACTTCAGAATTCTGGCCTCCAGAACATTGAGAGAATTCATTTCTGTTGTTTTGAGTCACTCAGTCTGTGGTAATTGGTTACAGCAGTCCTAGAAAACTAATACAAGCAATCCACTTGGCTCTTTAGGTAACTGGAATGTGGCTAGTTAGACTGGGAAACTGAAATTTTAATCTTATCTAATTTTAATTAATTTAAACTTAATAGCTAAACCCTGGAGCTATCACATTGAGTTACTCTCCTCTGTCCTTTGCCTGCACTCCAGTGCCACACACAGAACAGAATTCCTAACTCTCTACACCTGTCCCTGAATGGGACCTGCCATTTACTCAGGCTTTAACTCCCACTCCTGGTCCCCTCAACATTCTCACTTTGCTCCCAGTGCAGCCCACCCTAGTCCAGGATTTCTCAACTTTTTTTCATTATACAGTAGTCCCTCTAATGAGCCTTTTAGAACTTCTTTCCTTCCTAATTGGCTCCTCCCATATAAAATTTTAATGCATACTGTTTATCTGTGAAGGGCAACACACTATTGTACTACTTAAGATTTCGACCCCCTCAAGCAAAACAAACCAATATAAAAACTTAAAATGTTTAGGACTCTGGTCAACATGGCAGAATAGAGACACTCTGAGATCTCTGCCTCCAATGATCTTATTAAAATTACAACTAAATTACAGAATAACCACCACTGAGAATCATTTGAATACAAGCTGAACAGAAATCCCACAACTAAGAAGATAAAAAAGAAGCCACATCACCTGGTGGGAGCAGTGGAGACTTGGAAGGGCAGGTTGACACCCATGTGTGGCAATTAAAAACTGGAAGGGCCAGCTCAGCTGTGGAGGTATCCCCTGAGGAGTGTGAGGCCCAGCTTGACACCTGGCTCCCCAGACCCAGGCGCTAGTGTCAGGAAGAGGAGTCACCATAACATCTGGCTCTGAAAATCATCAGGGATTACATCCCAGAGAGACAAAAGGTTATGGGAGACTCACACATTTTGCCCCTAAAGGACCAGCACACAGACTCACCTTAAGCATCAGGTCAGGGGCAGCAGCTCAAAAACCACCAGGGACCTATGGGGAGAAACTAACTTCACTAACTTTAGAGTTAGGACAAGACAGGCAGGGGTTGGAGCAACTCTCTCTGGGGACAGAAGCACTGGCAGGCACCATTGTTCCTTTACGGAGCTTTACTTTTAGCCAGTCAGCCTGGCCCAGGTGTGTGTCAAATCTGTGCTCTCTATTAACCTGGATAACACCATTTGCACTGTCCTGGTGATTCTCTGAGGCCCCCTTATTCCCCATCCAACTTGCTCACCCAGCCCCAGTCTCTTCCAGTGGCTCCTCCACAGAATCAGCCTGCATTATCTCACACTGCAGTTTCACTCAAAGGTCTGCAAAGCTCTCACGAGTGCTGTCTGCTGTAGGCTTGCACTGCAGACTTTCTCAAAGGCCCACTAATACCATATAAGTGAAAAATCGACAAACTTCACACAAGTAGTGGCCAGCCTTGGCATACATTGTAGCCCAAGCTCAACATAAGGGGCGACCAGTCTCAACTTGCAGAGTACCTTCTATCAGGTGATCCCAAACCTGGCATAAACAGCAGCCAGAATTGGCCTCTAATGTAGCTCCAACTAGGCAGCCTCAAGCCAAGCACAAATCATGAATGAAGCCAAGTTGCCCATGAAAAGATTCAAAGGCTGGCACTAGTGGCAGCTGACCTTGGCTTGCAGCATAGACGTTCCCAAGCACATCCAAGCTCAGCACAAGCAGTGACCAAACAAAGATCACTTTGTTACTCCTACCAGGCAGCCCCACACCTGGCACAAATGGTGACTAACCTCAATATTCTCAATAAACTTATGGTAAGAATAGAGATGAACTCAGTGAGAACTTTAACAAAGAGATAGAAACCATCAATAAGGAGACAGAACACATGAAAAGGGACCAATCAGAAATGAAGAATACAATAACTACAATGAAGAATACACTAAAAGGAATCAACAGCAGATTAGAAGAAGCAGAGGATTGCATCAGCAATCTAGAAGACAAGGCAATAAAAACAAACTGAAACAGCATAAAGAAAAAAAATAAGAATTTAACAAACCTCTGGGACAACATCAGGTGTAACAACATCTGCATCACAGAGGTACCAGAAGGAGAAGAGAGAGAGAACAAGGGATGGAAAATCAATTTGAAGATTATACTTAAATGTTTGAGCAGTTGATGTACTTTTTTATATTCCATCATAATTATTCCTGACTTTAATGTATTATCTTTTCCCTCCATTTAACATCTGTTAGCTTTTAAGGTTTCAATCTGGATGGCAGATTAGGTGGACAGTGAACTCACCTCCTCCTATGAGCACATCAAAATTACAACTAAATTTTAGAACAAATGAACCTGAGAACCATTGGAGGACTAGCTAAAGAGAAGGCCTTTAACTAAGGATATAAAGAAGAAGCTATGTCGAGCCTGGTAGGAGGGCTGAAATGGACTGGCCCTACATCCACATGATGTGGTTGAGAATTGGGAAAGATATCTCAGCTGCAGGGGGTCCTCCCGAAAAAGCTAGAGATCCCAGCCCCACACTAGACTCCCCAGATCAAAGCACCAGTGACGGGAAGAGTTGCCCCACAACATCTGTCTGTGAAAATTAGAAATTTCATCCATCTG